GTTGACAGGAAACTTTGAATTTACTTCATGTAAGTAGTTGCGAAAAGTTCACATTTCGTGACGTCACGTATGAAACAAAACAAAAATGTAAACAAACTCTCGAGAGTGTGCAGTACAGACTAGAAATCTTTAATAGATATCACCAACACCTGTAATAGAGGACCCTAGCGTGTTCTTAGATCAGTGAATTTCATATGACGAGCACTACGTAATGGTCTCTAGTTGTATGAGCAAACTGATCCAGATAAATAGAATTAATCATCTGCTTGACAGAAAGAAAACGCTCGCGGATCGTTGGCGAGGGTGGGGGAGTTTCGGGGGATTTTGGTTGAACCCCCTAAATGAGACATTATAACACGCTGGTTTGGCCTAGAATGCGGGAAATCCCAATTCCGAGAACCTCGATCATTTTGAAAAATTTCCTGTGGGAGGATGCCAGCCCTGACCCCCCGCCAAGGGGAGCGCTTTCGCCGGACAACACCTCGAACCCCTCTCTCTAAAAATCTGTATCCGCCTCGGAAAGCGTTTGTGTTAATAATTAATAGTTTTGTTTTTAGCAGGCTTTTTATTCCTCTTTGGTTTGGAGTTATACTTCTGTGACTAACAGTGTTATCTTTAAACTTCAGCTTGTTCAAAATTTTTCAGCAAGGATTGTTTTGGATCTCCGGAAATATGATCACATCTCTGTAGATTTGAGATCACTCCAGAGTCGATGACAAAATATCAAGCAGTGACTTATGGTCAACGATAAAGTTATAATGCATAAATTTTTTAATAGACTGTTTCCTAACCATTAGTCAGACAAATTCTGTACTCGGCCTAATAACCAGGACAGACAGACAAGATTGTTGACGCTCTATACTTCACTAAATTGCTTTTATCAATCAACTATGATGAAATATTCACTACCAATTAACTCTCTTTAGATTTGTCGGAAGAAGTGCAGAGAGAACTTTTGACTTCTCTGGATGAATCAAGCAGCTTTGACGAAGATTTGACGAATGGAAAGGTATGCAATTACATGTAACTTTGATCGTTTTATTTGACTATAATGAAGATAAGATCAAGCTACTAAGTACCCCGATCTTCTCTTGCTATTAAGGTGGCTCCCTATAGTTTTACGGTTGCACGCGCACTGAAGACGAAAGCTCAAGTAATCTGCGCGCGCTCGAAGGAAAACGTCACTGTTTTTCGATATTTTATTACATCAACATGAGCACAACAAGCAAAACTGACAGTGAATTTTCTCGCGTTTCCTTCGGCGAAATTCCGTAAAACTTGGCAGATTGGTAGTAAATGTTTTACTGTAGTCGGAGCTCGTTTTTCAGCGAAATCTATACGACCAGTTTTCTCGCAGCGTTAAAAGACGTAAATTTGCAAAAATCGAAAAACCTGCCTTTACAAACCCTATTTTTTTCGTCTTTAAAATTCTTATCCCGCAGGAAGCGATATGCTGTGAAAATTTGGGAAGATTTCACCGCAGGAAATTCAAGAAAATCGCAAGTAAAGCCATAAAAAAGTAAAAAAACAAAAACATATTTGTTTGGTCATTTATAATTTAAGACTAAGACCAATAATTTTAACAGAGATAATAGTAAAACACTATTTAATCATTGCTTATTACATGAAATTAGTTTGAGAGGACAGGGTGTAAAAACGAATGCAAAAACGCAATAAATGATTACCCTCTGGAGCCACCTTAAACATTTAGATTATGAGCTCGAGATTTCTATCACGTGATATCACGCACAGAATTCGGGAGCGAATAATCTAATTGTTTTAGTATAAATCTAAAAGCTTTATCTAAATCCTCTTCACAGACACTTCGAAAACGCCAAGAAGCGGCCGTCATTTTGCTACCAAGAGCACACTGCTACGCTACTCACTATCTATCACAGATTAGTATCACCCAACTAGTGGACTAAAGCAAATCCTGCATTTAAATTGGCTACGCTATTAGAGGCCTATTAGTGGTAGTTCTCGAGTAACGAAATTGGCGCAATCGAGAGCGACGCTTTCTTTCGTTTTATTCCCAAATAAATATTTCTTCAACTTGCATTTGCTAACTTTATTATTGTCTTTTCTGTCCGACTAGCTGGGTGATACTAAAACAATTAGACCCTTCGCCCACATGGGCCATGGGTCAATAGCGCATTCGGCTTCGACTCATGGGCTATTGACCCATAGCCCTTGCGGGCTACGGGTCTAATTGTTAATTATATAATAATCCAAGCTATTCTCACATTTTGATTGGTTCTCGCCTATGATCTATTAGAGGACAAAGTTTTTCAAAGTTTTCCCAAGCTCGTTCCCAGGCTCTCTCCCTGTGTTTTGAAATGGCGGAAAGTTTTGAGAATTTGGATAATATTTTACGTGACTGGGCGAAAGATAAAGTACAAAAAAGTCTTGTCAAGGCATTGAACAGGTACAAGAGAAGAAGTAAGAAGAAAGAAAAAGCCGTTTCTTTCAGAAAATGACTCAGAAAAATACTTCGGCAGTCTCAGTTGGCAGTCGAGCGAGGCTAAACCAAACACAAAATTGGTCTTGAAATTACTTTAAGGTAAGAAACCATTGCTTTGTCTCGAATTTAACAAACCCAATAAACAAAATTGTTATATATCGTTAATTTATTTAAAAAATTCAACTTTGCTCAGTCTCAAAATAATCCACCGTAGGAAAAACGATGGCGGCTCTACATTTTACCACAATGCCTTGCAATCCTAACACAGCCTATAAGGCACAAAGAAAGCCAAATTTTTATAACATTTGTTCCTGTTCTAAGGACATTGAGTAGCCTAGGCTTGAAGATTTTATGAAGTTTCTGTACGTTTTTATCAACGTTGTTTAGGTTTTAGTGCGCTAAGAACTATGAGTAAATGTACCAGTCGCCATCTTTTTTCCTACGGAGGATTGCTGACACAGATTGATCTCAGGAATAAAACATCACTTCTTAAAATCAGTTAAAATAAACACAAAACCTCGCTCAGTCCGACGCGAATGTTCCAGTCCTTTTCAGGGCAGAGCAGTGTGCAAAGTAAAGCTAACTACAGCTCACGGCCAACTGTATCGCAGCACCAGAGTATCAAACTGATTTGAAAACCACCAACCACAAAGGACTCAAATTCCACAGTCACTAAAGGTCCTTTCATTTAAAACTCGAATCGAATGGCCTCCGTAATATTCAAGGCAACATCCAAGCTTTTCGGCTCACAAGGCTGCTACATGACAAAAACTGACTTGACTTTTCTAGCATTTTCTTTAAGAATTTTAGATTTTGCAATTCAATTCTGCTTTCATTGTGAGTTTTCATTCCGCGAGTTTGACAGTGGCGTGATTTTTCTCGACCAATCAAATCTTTTTGCTACGCATAGCAACCATTGAGATTGCTTCATTTTGTATAGACAATAGATTACAACAAATGGCTTTTTTTTCTTGTTCACCAAAGTGGGCAAAGGCCGGCTTTCGAGTTACGGTGAAAGATTCTGAAATAAAAAAAAAGCTTTATCTGTAGTAGTTTGTTTCTTTATTATATAAAATAAATAGATTCNTTTCTAGCATTTTCTTTAAGAATTTTAGATTTTGCAATTCAATTCTGCTTTCATTGTGAGTTTTCATTCCACGAGTTTGACAGTGGCGTGATTTTCTCGACCAATCAATTTTTTTTTGCTACGCATAGCAACCATTGAAATTGCTTCATTTTGTATAGAAAATAGATTACAACAAATGGCTTTTTTTTCTTGTTCACCAAAGTGGGCAAAGGCCGGCTTTCGAGTTACGCTGAAAGATTCTGAAATAAAAAAAAGCTTTATCTGTAGTAGTTTGTTTCTTTATTATATAAAACAAATAGATTCCATGTTGCCGTGTGTCTGTTCAGTAATAGACCATATTAGACGTCAAAATGTGGTAAGAACATCAGTTAGACACTCGGCTATCGCCTTGTGAGCCACTTTTTTGTTCTTACCGCATTTTAACGTCATCTGTGATCTATTACTGAACAGACGCACGGCCAAATGGAATTTATTTGTTAAATAGATAGTGACTAGTGAAGCCAATCAGAGAACAGCATTCGTGATAGAACGCTAGTAGATTTATACTAAAATGCAATAGATGTCCAAATGAATAGTCCCTAACTCTCTGATTGCCCTCTACTAGGAAAACGAGAATGAAGTAAGCAGCAGCAGAGGCAGTGTAAATAGCAACAGCAACAACAACAACAACAGCGCACCGTCAGAGTTGGAGATCACGGCAGTGTGGTATAATTCTAACAAATGTGGCTATGACGGGCTTAGCAAGGAATTACCTTCAATCAGAGAAAATACAAAGAAGGAATTCACTCATAATATCGAACACCTCGAAAACGTCAGTACTACCCAGGCAAAGCAAACTTTCAGAGAAGATCAGAAACCTTCAAACACGTCTTGCAGCGCTGATGAGATTGGTATCGGCATTGATGAGTCAAGAGCTGTCAGGTTTAGAAACAACCTCTTTGTGGTAAGCATATTTAGTGTCGCTTTTAACTTAAATAATCCTAGATTCTACATTTAAGAAGTACCCGATAGTTACACTATAGTTTTAGATTTTCGTTATCAGGAGAGGTAGACAACTCAGAGCAATCGCGTTGTAGGTTTAACACAACGTACTAATTTAAAAGTTAGAACATTTAAACAAAACTTATTGGAAAAAAAAAAAACTGACATCGAGTACCATTAGTGTTAACTTAGGAAACAGAATTGCAAAGGGCTTTTAATGCTTTCAACGCGTTTGATGAGTCATATTTATTTGTTATCTCTAGGCAGTAGAAGANGACGTCAAAATGTGGTAAGAACATCAGTTAGACACTCGGCTATCGCCTTGTGAGCCACTTTTTTGTTCTTCCCGCATTTTAACGTCATCTGTGATCTATTACTGAACAGACGCACGGCAACATGGAATTTATTTGTTAAATAGATAGTGAGTAGCGTAGCCAATCAGAGAACGGCATTTGTGATAGAACGCTAGTAGATTTATACTAAAATGCAATAGATGTCCAAATGAATGGTCCCTAACTCTCTGATTGCCCTCTGCTAGGAAAACGAGAATGAAGTAAGCAACAACAGAGGCAGTGTAAATAGCAACAACAACAACAACAACAACAACAACAACAGCGTACCGTCAGAGTTGGAGATCACGGCAGTGTGGTATAATTCTAACAAATGTGGCGATGACGGGCTTAGCAAGGAATTGCCGTCAATTAGGGAAAATATAAAGAAGGAATTCACTCATAATATCGAACACCTCGAAAACGTCAGAACAACCCAGGCAAAGCAAGCTTTCAGAGAAGATCAGAAACCTTCAAACACGTCTTGCAACGCTGATGAAATTGGTATCGGCGTTGATGAGTCAAGAGTTGTCAGGTTTAGAAACAACCTCTTTGTGGTAAGCATATTTAGTGTCGCTTTTAACTTAAATAATACTAGATTCTACATTTAAGAAGTACCCGATAGCTACACTATAGTTTTAGATTTTCGTTATCAGGAGAGGTAGACAACTCAGAGCAATCGCGTTGTAGGTTCAACACATAACGTACTAATTTAAAAGCTAGAACATTTAAACAAAACTTATTGGAAAAAAAACAACAACAACAAAAAAACTGACATCGAGTACCATTAGTGTTAACTTAGGAAACAGAATTGCAAAGGGCTTTTAATGCTTTCAACGCGTTTGATGAGTCATATTTATTTGTTATCTCTAGGCAGTAGAAGAGTTGCGGATTCAAAGGGTACGTAAGTCACTGCATCAGACCTTCTTGTGAGAAACACACAGAAACGCATACACACATGCAGTAACGGCTAATCTTCCATTGATAATGAATTATGAATCAAGGCTAACGTCTTTAGGATAAGCGTAAATCGTTAGCTACGTAAATCGTTAGCTAGGAAGCTACTGCCTTACTTCTTACACAAGGAAGATGACCAAAACCTATCCACCCTGCAGTGACTGGGTATTTGTTTGATACCAATATTGTAACATGGAAAGTATTGCCTGCCACATCAGCACAGCCAGACTTCTTTCTCGCCGCTGACAATCACTCGTATGATTGCTGACCGAATTGAACTCCATTCAATCCCATTATTATACATTGAACTCACTGTCTCTTTTGTGATTGGCCGAAAGCGTGCAGTAAATTTTCGAAATCAGTGCCTGTGGCGTCACCTAGCTGCAGATCATCACAATAATCATGTCAAGGACACTCAAGGTCACGGGTAATCATGTCATGTATGACCGCAGTGCATGATTTCTAAGGATAATCATGTCAAGTTCACGCGCTTTGTGTTACTTGCCGTCAGTGAAGAGGCAAAGACATGACTTCCATTTTTTTTTTTCGTTCAATAAGATGAAAACAATTATTTTATTCGGTTTTTGTGATATCCAGAATAATCAAGGTCTCGGTAAGAGTTTTCAGCGCCAGCCTTCGGCTTCGGCTGATAACTCCTACCGCGACCTTGATTATTCTGGATATCACAAAAACCTGATCCAATAATTATTTTTTTAATAACAGACTCTGGACTTGGAAANTAGCTGCAGATCATCACAATAATCATGTCAAGGACACTCAAGGTCACGGGTAATCATGTCATGTATGACCACAGTGCATGATTTCTAAAGGTAATCATGTCAAGTTCACGCGCTTTGTGTTGCTTGCCGTCAGTGAAGAGGCAAAAACATGACTTCCAATTCTTTTTTCGTTCAATAAGATGAAAACAATTATTATATTCGGTTTTTGTGATATGCAGAATAATCAAGGTCTCGGTAAGGGTTTTCAGCGCCAGCCTTCGGCTTCGGCTGATAACTCCTACCGCGACCTTGATTATTCTGGATATCACAAAAACCTGATCCAATAATTAATTATTATCAGTAATAATTCTATAGGCGAAAGCCTGCCAGTACCTATGACGTTTTAATTATTATTATTATTTTTTTTAATAACAGACTCTGGACTTGGAAAACGAAGAGAGAATCAAGACCTTGATGACTGAAAAGCATGAACTCGAACGCAGAAAGGTATTCCGTTTTCCGTGACCTGTTTACACGAAATTTTCCCTTCATTTTCCTTTTACCTCCGGACTCCGTTAAATACAAAGGTGAAGTATTGTACTTGTAAAGGTTCAGCTTAAGAAAAACAACTTTGGAACTACATTTAAAAGGAAATTAGATTATTAAAGTAAATAAATATTTTGAAAATCGTATATGGAACATAACTTTACTTGTCATATTTTTCTCCCGGCATAATTTTCAAAGAATATAGGTAAGGCTACATGTCATGAGAATATTTCCATCAAAAAAGAAAAGAACAGAGCAGGAAATGAAAACAAAAAAACTGTCACTGCGCAGTGGGAACAGAAAGAGTTATCTAGTTATCTAACCCTGTATTGCAACGTTCAACCCAAAACCAACTGGTCAATAAAAACCTAAATAACTCACTAACCAGGCTTAGACTAACCACTACTCCAGATTCACCAGCAAGCCAGCTATAGCAACGTACAATCATGGACAAAAGTCTTGGGACAAAAGTCTTGGGACAAATTTGCACTTTTGGCGCTTTTGCGCACACGCCAGACGCGAATACAACTTCACCTGCCTAACCTCGCCCCCCACCCCCCATACAATATTGAAAACTAATAACTGCAATTTTACCTGATTTTCAACATTGTATTGGGTGGGGATGGGAACAGCAACGCTTTTTAAAAGGATATCGCAGCGTTTTTTCAAACTTCAGTTCTAAAACACAGACAATTCGTTACATTACATAAGTGTCCCAAGGACTTTTGTCCACGATTGTAGCTATAACCATTGAATACAACCGGCCGATCGACAGCATCAGCTAATAAGTGCWCTTTCTCAAAGTCTGTTTTCCTTTACCATGTCCGCTCTATTCCCTTCCACTTACCAGGATTTCTACCTAAAAAATGCTCCTTTCTCGCATCGATGATTTTCAGGAAGAAGAAGTATCAAAAAACAACGCCTTAGTTCAGCAACACGCACAGCAAGAGATCGAGATAAAAAAGCAGGTAAAGTAATTATCCATTGATAAGTTTGCTGATATATGACATATAACGCGTGCTGGAAATATTGAGATCATTTAATTTCCGTTTGGTTTTCAATAGCACGAGGACCGCCTGCTACAGTACGAAGAAGATAAGGTAAGATAGTTTGCAGACGTAGGTAGCACCGATATCAAACATTTCCCCATTATTCCCTTGTAATGACCGGTCTTCACTTTGAATTGATATTGTAATAAACACTTCCGTCTCAGGCCAAAATGACCCTGGCGGCAGAATGTACCGAGAAAGAACTAAAGATACTGAAGGACGAAGTTAGAGCTCTTCATGTAAGTACATGAGAAAATTTGTTAGTGTAAACCTATTCTGCTCACGAGAAAACAAACAAAGAAATTGAATTGTGGTTCTATACGTAACTTAGGTATTCAAATGCAAAATGTAATATAAAGGCTCGGGTGGAATATCTAACTGAAAATTCATAGACTTAAAATTTTTGCATTGAAACCAACGAAAAATGAAATAATTATAAAGCATTATCTGGGGTAGTTTGTTGTTGACAGTTCAATTCCTTGTGCAGGGAGATAAATAACGATACTGAGGTAACTCAAATGCACTGTTGTATCAAATGCCTATTGAGTGATTGTGGTCTAGTCTTGCTATTTTACTAATACTTTTCGTTTTCCCTTTTTGATTGCTTACTTAAAAATTTGTTGTTTTCTTGAAGTGGAAAGTGGTGAATTTCTTAAGTGACAATTTGACTTGTTTCAGTTGGTGGAGTACAATCTCGAAAAGAAGATCAAAGAACAGGTGAGTCATATATGATCTACAACAGACACGGAGCTAATTACTTGACTAAGACTATCGTTGATGATTGAAGGTGCGTCCATGCGTCCAGCGTCATGGGTGCACGAAGAAATAATCCTTTTTTTTAAAGGTACACGTTTGTCCACATGGACTGTAGACAAAGGCAACGCGAGATTAAATTGTCTTGCCTCTTTGCCAGAAAGTATAAGTGAAAGACACTTGGCAGAGCTTGAATCGCAGAACCTTTNGTACACGTTTGTCCACATGGACTGTAGACAAAGGCAACGCGAGATTAAATTGTCTTGCCTCTTTGCCAGAAAGTATAAGTGAAAGACACTTGGCAGAGCTTGAATCGCAGAACCTTTGAATCGCAGAACCTTTGTCTTTTTCTTCTGTAAACCAATACATGATCCATACCTCATCCCCGTCTAAATCCCGACTTATAACCCTATTTATCTCTGCCACCAGAAAAACCAGCCATGCAGATCAGCAACTCTTATCGCCTGCCATAAATCCACCACCACTGACCCACCCATACTAAATTTCTATTTAGCAATTAGATTATGAGCTCGAGATTTCTATCGCGTGATAGCTGACGAGGGGCGCGCACAGAAATCAAGAGCGAATAATCTAATTGTTTTAGTATAAATCCACTAGTCATTCAAAAGTTTATCTAAATCCCTCTCACAGACACTTCTAAAACTCGAATAAGTGGCCGCCTTAGCGTTTCTGTTAACATCTGTACACTGCTAGGCTACTCACTTGCTACAACAAAATTGCTAGTTAGTAGCATAGCCAATAAGGGGGCGAAATTCGTGACGGAAGGCTTATAAGCTGTAGCTACGTAGTTGAATCCGTTCTGTTTTTTTTCCCCGTAGGAGCGGCTTATCCAACTGCAGAACTCTGCGAGAGACAGTTACGAGTCTCAGATATCTACTCTAGAGCAGCGGAGCAAAAAGGCGTTTGATCAATGCACTCAACTAGCCGAGCTCGTTGAAAACACAGAAGGAAGGTGTAAGTAACACAGTTTTAGTTACTTTCTGGAAACGCACTGATCTGTGGGCCTTTTGCTTCAAATTTTACGTAATACAAAATTCACCATGCTGAATGGCAAGTTACTCCCATATCCAAGATAAAGACACGTTGAGATTTACTGGCTGAAAACGCTTTGTTTTGGAGCCATAGCACTCTTCATTTTGCAATCCAGAATGCTGGATCATGTAGCATGTGACCGTAGGTTACAGAAGGCCCATTTATTGATAAGCTCACTCACAATCAGAACATACCGTGACACGGAGTTGTGGAGACACGTTGCACTAAAATAAAGCTTGTGCACCAAGGACGTTCGTGCCGGTTGTTGCAGGTTGGGCCGTAATCGAACCCAGACCACACTGATGGGAGGCAAGCGCTCTCAACACTGTGCCATCCCTCCTCTCCTACATCTGCTGTCGTATCACGGACTGATGACTAGCCCGCAATTGGCTTGATAGCCAAGTTGGTAGAGCACTGAATCGGTACCAAAAACGTTATGAGTTCGACTCAGTCTCGTTCAAGCCTGTATATTTTAAATCTTTCTCCCTCCTTTCAAATATATGATTTGATCCGCTTGCATAGCTCAGTTAAATGTTTGTTTCAACAGGATCGGCCTTAAGCAGGATTTGACATTTTCCCAAATCTACTTTTCAGTCTCCGTAGCCTCTCAGCTTCACAGAAAACTAATGTACACCAATGAACACCAGAAATGTCTTTTGGAATCGTATAAGAGAGAGCTTGAAGCTAAAAAGTTTGAGCTTGTTACCTTAAAAGCAATAGTCACACAGAAAAAAGACTCTTCAATGCGTAATGCTGACGAGGAGCGTAGCCGTGCTGATGCTCTGGAGAGGGAACTTCAAATGGTATGTAATTAAGAATATATACAATAATTTGATCACTAGTCCAAGAGGAACGTAGCCAGTGAAGATAACTTCAAATGGTGCTAGTGAGAAATTCTGCCAAAGCTCTGTAACCAGAAGCCAGAAGCTAAATGTTAAGCTCATTACCTTCTTATTGATACTTTTCAAAAACCTTGTCCAATCTTTGAGATGACGGTTTCACTTGCAAGGATGATGGTCTATTTGGGGGTTATGTTGGCTGTTCACACTCTATCGATAAGAACTAAAACTAACAATGACAATTTAAAAATACATAACTATATATTTTGTCAGTCAGTCACTTCTCAGTTGATACCATCTATTTCTAGCTAGCGAGGCATTCAGAAATAGATCAATATATAGATCAATAGATCCAGTTGAAGAGCCAAAGTGGGCGCGGTACACAGTTAAGATTTACAATGGCATAATAAAATGATGTTTATGTTGCAGCAAAATGAAGTCTGCCGAAAATCGCAGAATCAACTAGACGATTCGAGGAAAGAAAATGAGGTAGACCATCGGTTGCGTTGTTTCTGTCGACGACAATGGACTCATATTTAAGTCGGTTACCGGAAAAATATACCATATTGGATGAACAGAAGAAGCCAGCTCAAATCATAAGTGTGATTTCTAAGTAAGCCGTTAGATTCTTCTTCCAACATTTTAAGCTCATTTAAGTCATAGATCGGGAACCGTGGAAGTCCGAAGTTGTGTCACCTACAGTTCTGATCGAAAAGTATTGGGCTTTTCAGAAGAGTCTAAGCCAGGGTTTTGTATTTGAAAGGGATCAAGCTGTGCTGTGAGAATCTTGTGTACTTATCTGCTGTTCACCGCCTGTAGTCTATAAACCATCTTACAGACAGGCAAACATTCATAAAGTAACTTTTTTTTCTTTTTCCCTGTATTTCTTCCTAAAGAGATTGATGCAATCACTGAAAGAAGCACACAACTTGCTTGATCGACATGTGCAGTCCATCAACAAACACTGTGAGCTTGAGGCTGTTGTCCATCTCGAGCTGGACGAGATTAAAACGGAGTGCCAGACGCTAAACGAGTCGCTCAGTAAAGCACAAGAAGAGAAGCAGCTCTTAGAAGACGCATTAAAATGCAGAACGACAGAGTGGGATAAAAAGGTATTTACAGGAAATGTTGGGACAGCTAATATCTCTTCACGGCCTGTTCACATGGAGTGGGGGACCTCGGGCAGGTGAGGTTCCCCACCTTGGTGGGGTAACCAATCTGTCCATACAATCTCTCTTTTTTTCTTGATCGCGTTCAAATGTTAGGTGGGGGTACCCCACCAAGGCGGGGAACCCGGACAGCCGATCTGGGTGTCCCGCTTCGGTGGGGTGAGGTTTCTCCGTGTGAAAGCAATGGAGTTGAATAACCCACCTAACCGGGGTAATCAAATTACTGGCCAAAGCCCGCCAAAACACAGGGCAGAACAACGTGGCTGCCAACCGCTACGAGCGTGGCGGGGTCCTCCAAAACCTCCAAAGCGCTGATGAAATTCACAGTGCTGGCAACAATTTAAGCGTGCTAATTTCTTATCACTGGTTTCCACCCTTCTTCAATACAAAAACACCCAGAGAACAATTAACCGAGCAACCC